TAAAGGGAGAGAATATATCAAACGATACAGTTCAATACAAGAGAGATAGGAGGGTCCCTGCTCCTAGGAGCTTACAATCTAAGAGAGACGGGCTGGTGGTACAAAAGGTCATAACTGTGGGGGGATGAACTGATAGGAGGAATAGAAGATTCCATTATTAGTTGAAGGCAGGATAGGCTGCCCTGAAGAGATAGGTTTTCAGAGATCATCTAAAAGTGGTCAGAGTAGGCGATAGTCGGATAGATTGTTGTAGCGTTCCAGAGGATGGGGGAGGCTCTGACAATATTGTGTGTTTGTGTATGTATGTATGTATGTGTGTATATATATATATATATATAATATATATATATATATATATATAGCATTTACAGACTGCTCCCCTAATATAGAGAATTTTTAGGGCCCCATACATATTAAAATGATAGACTATCCTATGGCTGACTTCTAACAAGTTTGAGAACAGTTTTGAATATTTGCATATACAGTATAGGGTGCCCATTGGCATGCACAAACACATAATGATATAATATTATATCTAGTTAACCAAAGACAGTGGTAGATTAGCATAGCACTATCATGCTTTCCTTTACATAACAGGTTAATGTCTGCTGGCAGAAGTCAGGATTGATTGGTATGGAAACTTATGACTAATGATCTATTGTTCTGCAAGTTACTTCAGAAACACTATGGTCATGGAAATGCATTCTTCTGAGGTCACAGGTAAAGTCCAACCTTTTATTGTAGGCAGCTGAACATGTTCCGCCTTGAAGTATTTTTGCAGGTTTGGGAAATAACTTCTGTGGGCAGAAATGAGAAGGGTATTGTCATATCAATGAGTAACTAAATGTGGCAAACTGTAAATTTGTGTTATGCTAATGCAGAAAAGCTGCAATGCAAGGAAAACCTTGCAATCTATGTGATGTAATGTAAAACATTGTTATTGCTAGCTAATTGTTTCTAAATCCATGTTTGACTTTTGTTGATCTGTGTGGTGCTGAGAGGGCCAAAGACAGAACAAATTTTGTCTGATTCATGCTGAAATTGATGTGTGTATGACCAGTCTAAAGTGATTGTAAAGGATCATTTTTTTAAAATAACAAACATGTCATACATACTTGCTCTGTGCAATGGTTTTGCACAGAGAAGCTCCAATCCTCTTATTGGGTACCCAGCTGGTGCTCTTGGCTCCTCCTCCAGACCGAGTGCCCACCATAGCACTGGGGGCACTCAGGCATGCTCGCTCCTGTGCTGGCTCTGTTAATCCATAAGACACACAGAGCATGGCTAGGCCCATCCCCGCTCCATTCTCGCTGCCTGTGATCGACAGCAGAGGGAGCCAATGGCTCCTGCTGCTGTGTCTGAGCCAATGAGGAGGGAGAGAGGAGAGAGAGCCTCTGCTCTAGTGCACATTGCTGGATCAAGATCAGTAAGTATAAGGGGGGCTGTGGGGAGCTGCTTGCTTTAAGGTAAAAATCCTCCTAATTATTGCATTGTTAACTGCTTCCCTCCAGGCCTATAGCAAAATTACAACTGAATTTTCCCATCCTGGGTGGACACGTACCACTTGCACGCTCTAGGGACTGCGCTGAAGCTCGATCTATCACCCGCTGTGTCCACTGGACACAGCAGATGACAGATCGTTATACCGCTCAGGCCCCAGTACTATGCGATCCCTGTGACCAAACACAGCGATCACATGTCAATTGTGTTTAAAGATTATCTCTGTGATTGGTCACAGTGATTGCATGGTACAGACAGGGCTAGTCACAGTGCATCTGTACCATGTGATAGTTGTGGCTAATCACATATATCACAATATTACATTATTATATATTATACAGTATTTATAAAGCGCCAATAGTTCGCTCAGCGCTGTACATTACAAAGGGGGACAGAACATGTGACAGAACAATACCAATACAATGCAAAACATGAGGGGATTGAGGGCCCTGCTTTTTCGAGTTTAAAATCTAGGAGGGAGGGGATGGTGGCACAGGAGGAGATAGCTGTGGGGGATGGAGTGGTAGGAAGAGTGGAGGAGGTCGGCAAGTTAGCAGGGGGTGGGGTAGGCTTCCCTAAAGAGATGTGTTTTTCAGGGTGAGCCTAAAGGAGAGAAGAGTAGGTGATAATCTGATGGGTTGGGGCAGGGAGTTCCAGAGGATGGGTGACACCCTGGAGAAGTCCTGGAGGTGGGCATGGGAGGAGGAGACCAGGGAACTAGAGAGAAGGAGGTCTTGTGAGGAGCGGAGTGTGCGTGCTGGGCGGGGGTACTTGGATATTAGGTCAGTGATGTAGTTCGGGGCAGTATGGTGGACAGCTTTGTACGTCAGCGTTAGAATTTTGAATTTGATCCGTTGCGCAATCGGAAGCCAGTGGAGGGATTAGCAGGGGGGGGTGGCGGAAATGGAGCGGTTGGAAAGGTGAATGAGTCTGGCAGCCGTATTCAGGATCGACTGAAGCTGGGATAGCCAGCGGCGAGGCAGGCCAGTGAGGAGGGAGTTGCAGTAGTCGAGTCGTGATATGATGAGGGAGTGGATGAGCTGTGTAGTGGTTTCTGGAGTTAGGAACGCGTGTATTTTGGCGATGTTGCGGAGGTGGAGTCTGCACGAGTTTGTTAAAGATTGAACTTGGGGCTGAAAGGATAGGTTGGAGTCCAGAATGACACCAAGTACTCTGGCCGCGGGGCGGGTTTGATGGTGGCGTTGTTGGATGTGATGGAGAAGTCAATGGGGGGTGGTGTCCGGGCTGGGGGGGAAGACAAGAAACTCGGTTTTGGAGAGGTTCAGTTTAAGGAAGTGGAGCGACATCCAGTCTGATATGTCGCTCAGTAGGTGTGTGATTGCGGGGGGCTGAGAGATAGATTTGTGTGTCGTCGGCATATAGTTGGTAGTTGAAGCCGTGAGAGTATATGAGTTGGCCAAGGGAGGAGGTGTAGATGGAGAAGAGGAGGGGCCCGAGGACGGAGCCTTGAGGGACCCCAACAGAGAGGGAGTGAGGGGGAGGTGGTAGCATTATAGGTAACACTGAAAGAGCGTTGTGACAGGTAGGATGAGAGCCAGGAGAGAGCAGAATCTCTGAGGCCGAGGGAGTGTAGTTTTTTGAGGAGGAGGGGGTGGTCGACTGTGTCGAAGGCACAGTTATAAGCAATCATAGTCAAACAAAAAATCCTGATATCCTCCCCCAGAGTCGTACAGTGTCACTATGATGATACTGTACTGGTCTGGTCACAGTATGTAAGAAAAAACAGAAAAAAATGTTTAAAAAATTGCATTGAATTAAAAATTGAAAGAAAAATGTATTTATTTTTACATACTGTCACCAATCAGTATCCCTTATCCCACCACACCAGTCATATGATGATGATGTACTGCTCTGGTGAAATATGTAATTAAAAAAAAATTATATTTTAATTTCTTTAAAAAAAAAAGTGACAAAAAAATTTACAACTTCAAAAAACTCACTACGTCTTACTAAATACCTTGGATTGTTTACTTTCCAAAAAGGGGTAATTTGGGCAGTATTTGTACTATCCTGGCATTTTTGGGACTCAAGAAAACGAGATAGACAGTCAGTACATCAGGACTGATCAATTTTCAAATATACATATATATATATATATATATATATATATATATATATATATAAAATCATAGTTTGTAAACTGTATAACTTTCACGCAGACTAATAAACACTGATTTGGGTTATTTTTACAAAAAAAATGTAGCAGAATACATTTGGCGTAAAGTTATGAAGAAAGATTATTCATTTGCAAGATTTTTTTGCAAAAACAAAGAAAAAATGTGTTGTTTTTTTTATTTTTTATATTTTTTTCATTTATATAGCAAGAAAAATAAGAAAACCCAGTGGTTATTAAATACTACCAAAAGAAAGTTCTATCCATCCAAAATCTCATTTGGGTACAGTTTTGCATGACTGAGTAATTGACATTCAAAGTGTGACAGCGCTGATATCTGAAAATTGGCCTGGGCAGGAAGGAAGTGAACGTGTCTGGTATTGAAGTGATTAAATCAATAAATACACAAGTAAAATTATTATTTACTGAATTTCCTAAACTGTTCAAGTAAAAGTTTTTTCTTTTAGTTAGAGATTATTCGTTTATTCACACATTTATTAAAAGAAGTGTTTGTGTAGAAAAATAATTAGCAAAAAAAAGTGTACTTCTTAAAGTTAAAATATTCAGAATGATACATTTACAAATTCATGCATGATAAGCTCGATACAAATTCATGCAACTTGATAAAAACATAGTGTTATTTAGTTACAATTAGCACCTTTGTGAATTCACCCAGGTATCTCATATAAAGCAAGCAATTTTACAGTCCTTTAAACATCAATTTTTGAACACAGCCTTGAAAAAAAAAATGTATAACTAAAGTGAAAGAAAGTAATTCAAAAACATTCCTAGAAGACACAGCAATGGAAAATTTGGAGTCTTCATGTTATGATCCCTAACCCTTAATCTATGTACAGTGCTCAGCATAAATGAGTATACCCCAAAAGATTTGCCAGAAAAACCTTTACTTTCCTTTCATAATCAACATTTTCTATGGGACACTATACCACAAAATACTCCCACAAATGCGGGCCATTGATTGCAAACAAGATTTGTTCATTTGCACACACAAGAGTATTTTTCCTAACAAATTCTTTCAAGATCATGTTGCAAAAATGAATACACCCCAATGAAAGTCTTAGGAGCAAAGCTAAATTTTAGACATCAAAATCCCAGTTAAGAATTTAACTACAGGTGAGTCTATTTATTTTTTATTATTATTATTATTATTATTATACAGTATTTATAAAGCGCCAATGGTTTGCTCAGCGCTGTACATTACAAAGGGGGACAGAACATGTGACAGAACAATACCAATACAATGCAAAACATGAGGGGATCGAGGGCCCTGCTCTTTACACAGGTGTCCAGCAGACAGTTGATTATAAAACGGCATTACTCAACAAAGAAATCCCCTTCCCATTTCATACTGTCAGCAATGGCACCACATGGAAGAAAAATGTCAAAAGGCCTGAGAAAGAAAATAATTTCTTTACACAAGAAAGGTGAAGGCTATAGGAAGATCAGTAAAGCTTTACTTATCAGTCAGAATACTGTAGCAAAAGTGATACACAAATTTAACAAAGATAGAACTGCAACCATCTCACAGAGACATTCAGGCCATCCACAGCAGTTAACACCTTGACAGGAGCGTCTTCTGATGAGGTTTGAAGAAAATCACCATGCAAGTTCACTGCAGTTAGCTAAAGAAGTAAAAATATAGAATTGCAACCATCCCATAGAGTCGTCCAGGCCATCCACAGAAGTGAACACCTCAACAAGAGCATCTTCTGATGAGAAGGGTTGAAGAAAATTGGCATGCAAGTTCACTGCAGTTAGCTAAAGAAGTAGAAAGTCAAACTGGGGTGATTGTTTCCAGTGACACAATACGGCATACACTTCAGAGGAATGGCATGCATGGGTGTCATCCATGAAGAAAGCCTCTCCTAAAGCTTATGCATAAAAACGTCTGCCTAGAATTTGCCAGGGCTCATGCTGAAAAAGAAGAAGATTACTGGGACTCTGTACTCTGGAGTGATGAATGTTTTCGGAACTGATGGCTTCAAAACTGTATGGCGTCGCAAAGGTGAGGAGTACAAAAAAAATGCATGGTGCCTACAGTGAAACATGGTGGTGGCAGTGTCCTTCTGTGGGGCTGCATGAGTGCTGCTGGTGTCAGGGAGCTGCATTTCATTGATGGTATCATGAATTCAGAGATGTACTGCTCTATACTGAAAGAGAAGATGCTACCATCACTCTGTGGCCTTGGTCATCGTGCACTTTTCCAACATGAGAATGATGCAAAACACACATCTAAGGCCACTGTTGATTTTCTGAAATCAGACTCTGGATCAAGTGGGCAAAGAGTTTAACCCATTAATGCCTCAGGGTAAAACAAATCTAAATGCCTAAGCACAATTTTGAAACATTGACATGTATTAGTAAAACCGTATGTTAGTTGTTTGTACCCGTAATACAGCCCAGAAACAATAGTGCACATTTTGCTTTTGTCTTTTTATTACCTAAAACACACTGACATTGACACTAACTGACACTGATACCAATTTTTTAAAAATCCTGACCTTTGACTCTGACCTTGACCCAAACACTGACCCTATTATTTGTTCTTCTGAGAATGTTGTCTATGATCTCTTATTTATGTTATGTTTAATTATGTTATTTATATGGTTTTTTTAGGTGATTTCCTCCCTTTAGCACTGAGGAAAATCTATCAGTTTATTGCATATTATTTGTATATACAGCTACCACTACTCTATATAGCATTTATCTACCATTTATCCATTCATATAATAATTCTCATGCAAAGAGAAAATATCTTGTATACCTGCACAGCATCAGCACTGCAGCCCTTCAGCTGGAACAACAATGTATTCCGTTTTAGTTACATGCAGTATATTTAAAAAATCCTATTGTATAAATTTGTTTATTTCTATTATGTGTTTTTAGTGTATGACTTTGGCTCTAAAATTAACCCCAGGGGACTTTCTAACCACAATTTTTTATTGAAATAACAGAGTATGTATGTATGGTTATTATTTTTACGATCCTGTATTATCCTTTAATATGTATCATTTTGCATATACTGTGTCGTGCCTTCAATTACTGTGATATTGCACAGACTTGTTGCTCATTATTATATTAATTTTTTTTGTAAGCAATTTTTTGATGCTGAAGTACAAGGAGCTTTTTGGCCTACTTGCACTCAAGTTCAGTATCCTTTTCTCTTTCCCTCTTTTTTTTGCATGTTGGTTTATGGTTTCTGATAAGTGTACAATCGTACAAGATTACAGGATATTCATTATAGATCTAGAAGATGGTTTTTATTATCTATTTTTTTGTAGTTTCTCTTTAACTCAATATTGTACCATCATGCAATGTGACTGTTCATATTGTGACTTCAATCCTTACTTCAGTCCTTCAATCCTCACTTTTCAACTAGAGCATTCATTTTCTGTAGACTGAAAAAACCTGGTTGATCCTGTTGTTCACTGTCCCTCCCTCCTTGTCTGTGTCCCTGTTGCAGCCTGAGATTGTGTAGAGAAGCCATCACCACATCTACTGAGCATGCTGCAGTTTCAGTTCTCTTCGAAGCTGATCCTTTTTCTTATCTGTGCAGCTCATGTGACTCTAAAGTCACACATGTGGGCGCATACACAGTGGTAAATGACAGTCCCCTCCTTCCTCAATGCCCTCATATTGATAAACACTATGTGGGTGGGATAAAAGATGGTGATTGATGGAGGCTCACCTCCTCATTAGTCCCAACATATACATACACACCATAGACACAAACTGGACGGACGTGACACAACCTGTGATTGGCAAAACCTTCTCCAGTTATATTTTACAGTCTGAACAAAGCGAAAGCTATTTTCAGTCAACTTCACTCCATGTTGTTACAAAAAAACATTTGCTTTGAAATATAGATTGGTAGTAAGCTTTAAAACACACCTGCATATTATATAGCATACATCAGCAGAATACTAGAAACTCCTCCCTCTGATCTTTCCTTGAGGACAGGAAAGACCTTAGAAATGTTACGTGACAGCTGAACAGCAATGATTAAATTAGGTGTTGAGATGCTTTTAATATCAAGCACTTGCTGACCGACCGCCTGCATTTTACTGTGGGTGAGCAGCTCGTACAGGCACAATCGTGTACCTACCTGTACATCGGCAGTGTCATCCGGGTTCCGTGACTGGACACAGCAGGATTTTGTCAGCAGGTTTCAGCCAATGATTCATGGTTGAGACCTGTTGATCGACTTTGTCCAATCACAGCCCAGAGCCCTGTGCTCTGTACAGACAGGACAATCTGTTTCTTCTCCCTGCAAAGCAGGGAGAAGGAACAAACAGGTATTTAGTAAAAAGCAACACAAATTACACACATTATACATTTTTAGGCACACAGTTAACCCTTTGATTGCCCCTAGTTTTAACCCCTTCCTAGTCAGTGTCATTAGTACAGTGACATTGTATAGTATTATCACTGATCACTGTATTAGTGTCACTGTTGCTGTCATTGTCAGTTAGTGTACCTCCCAGCCACCGTCAGTTAGTGTCAGATTACCAGACTTGAAGTCTGCCCCACATTTTTGTACCAAAGCTACTTAGGCAAAATTTTACATGCACAAGGATAGTGGTAAAAAAGAGATAAATGCCCCCTAAATAGCTCAAAGTGAGCCCTGGCAGGAAGTGCTGCACAGGCATGTTTTTTTTACATTACCACAGCCACTTATCCTGACAGTTATCCAGGAGGTGCAGGTAGACAGTGTCGCAAACGCGCGCATCAGAGATGGACGCAGTTCAACCATTTTGGCTTCAACCTCCATTATTCCCTCATTCTAGTTCCCCCCTCCCTTCCTGAGAGGCACAGTGACAGATGTGTGTGTGTTAAAAGTGTCACAGGCCAGATCCCAGCAGGAAGCCACGTGGTGCAGCACTGCCCGAGAACCTGTGTAGTTTCACACATCGTAAAACAGATAACGAGCCTTCCCAGAAGTAGAAAGAAATGCTGACCTGATGAACCTAGCACAGCATAGGTGACAGAATTAGATGAACACTTCTCAAATAAATTTTTCCCCTATGTCTCATATCTTGGAATATGAGAGACCTACATAAAAACCGGACCCCTCGTCAGATGGCCAATGAGCAGATGAACAGTTTGATGGGTCACTCAATTATCTCGGACAATCAGGGGAGCTGGAACATAGAACTTGCGAACCGTGCCACATATAATTTCATAATTTATATCTAAATAATCCTCAGGCTTATCTGCATAATAAAATACCCACGGGTAGACTGTCGCTTGTGCAGATGGAACCTTATGGAACAGAATATGTCAGGGCTCCAGGGTGTGACCAGAGATATGTGACTGACGCAGGGAAACGCAGGCTTCAGATATGTTATAAACAATAAGACAATTTATTAAAGACTAACAATACAAACATAAACCCAGTGCAATACTAAAACATAACACAGTGCAAACGAACCAAACCAAACCACCCACAGATAACAATATATACAATGCAAGCGTCGTCAGGCAGGCCGGGTCAATAACAATCGGGCAGGTAGGAACAGGGGGTCAGGCAGAGAATGGTCAGGGTCACAAGCCAGGGATGAAACAGGAGAAGTCAACAGAGGTCCGGAATCAGGCAGGGTCAGCAACGAATCAGACAGAGACAGGAACAGGAACAGGAATGCAGGAACAAGATACAGGGCCCAGGAAAAACACACACCAAGGCAGAGACTGCAGGTCTGGCCATCCCTTAAATACACCTGCATGATCAACTTCAGGTGTTTGGCTGGCTGCAGGGTTGAGTCTCTGATTGCCGGGAGCACCCGCTGGCCAGCCCTGTTACTGCAGCCCACAAGGCAGGTGGGTCCCACCATTACTGGCAAGTCCATTCCTGACAGAATATGAATTATGAAAGATGTTGGCCCCAGTTTAGGGTCCCGTCTGACGACCCCTCCCTGCACAACGGATTGGTTTGTTACTTCAGAACCACCCCTTGCTGGGAAACTTTAATACAGGCTGTCAAGCCTAAGGAAGATAGAATTGAGACATCTCCCATTTTTCCATCGTAACAGCGGGAGATCAAAGCACCATTCTGCTCTAAAAAACTTGGATCTACTTACATCAAAGGCTTACTGGAAAGTAACTTAACCCTTTAACTTCTCTTTGTTATCTCTTTGCTGTGCTATGCTGTTTCCTGTATATTTATATATATATATATCTTAGTTATATCTTCTCTGTAAATATTTTCATTGCACCTGTTTGACCCTTTTAGTAATAAATCTCTCTTTCTGAAAGTGTTGAACTGTTTCTATAGTTCTTAATTGCAATTTATGAATCCCTGCCTTTGAAGAGACACTACTGTTTGTTTAAACCTCTGTATAACCGGCCTGCGGACCGTTTTATACAGACGATTATTTCAATCATTATAGTGTTATAACTGATAACGTGAGTTTCCTCTTTCTCTGTACAAAAAGGAGGTGGTGGCAGTGTGGAGGGTTAGTTGCGTAATTAACCCGACCCAGTAACAATCGCTCAGGCTGACGGCACATCGATCTGTTGTCCATTAGCTGGAAAATCGTTGTGCAGGGTGCAGCTGGATGTGCCATTGTTACGCGCGTCACATAGCGGTTTTAGATTGGCCAGTCCTTCGTCACGAGTTTGGTGAGAAGGTCTGGGGTCTGACGCCGTGATCGTGACATATTGGACGTCGTGATCGTGATATTGCCGCATGTTGGTGGCGGCGATCTTGCGATCTGTGACAGACAGCATTGCCACGGGACTCAGCACTGGCTCACATAATTTACCATCTAGCCAAGTACACTGCACTCTTTCAGGATGCCCTTCTGTGTGTACAATATTTGTATGCTAAAGTGAACCTTGCACTACAAGCCAGGTCCACTTACATATTCACGCTCCCCCCCCCCATGCCCAAACACAAAAAAGTATTTGGGCAAAAAAACC